CAGGTGTGAAAATGTATCACTAAAAGCTATTTAACTATCATCCTATGTAGGATTATGTTATTTCTTGGTAAATTTACCTTTTAGAGTATAGAAAATGATAATGATTCATAAGAAATCGTTGCAACTTACGCATCTCTTTCACATAACTTAAATAGAGATTCTAGCAAAATATGTTTGAAGTCACTGTATACATTGGAGAGTTGATAGAAAATAACACTTTTCCTTATATATTCATTATGCAAACATGGCCAAAAGTTAGATTGGATTTATTTATGATTCTGGAGTGGCAGTGGTTTCCTCAGAGAAAAAGCTTTGGCGTCTGGTCAATGGTATGAAACGACGGGCACAAATATTATACCAGAAGCGTGGTTGCTATCCCCGATTTTCATATCCAATAGAATTTGTTGATTAAAACGTTTTTTGAAAATTAAAAAATGTCTTTTTGAGTGCTTCTTTTTACAATGAGTACAGCACTTTCGGTTAGCTAAATTTCTTTCCCTAGTAACTGTGTATAGCTTAGTCAGAATACGTAGAAAGCAATATCATATTTTTCTTAGATACACAGAACAAAATAAGCCGAGATGTCACTAACTTATGGCAAGTGTTTAATAAGACATTGTTTTGATATGTAAAAGTTTATTAGCAAAATAATGTAAATACATGTATTATGATATATGAATGTTAAATAACAAATTTAATATGATAAATTTGCATATTATGAAAATTAACAAAGAGAAAATTGCACAAAAAATCTGATGGGAAGATAGAAATCAACAATGGTGTCAAACAGGCCAAAATTTTAAGTTTTAAAATCATTGCTTTTGACAATTTCCTGTAAACGTTACATGCGGATCGAGAATGAAACAAACGATATTGTCTAGAAGGTTAATATATAATTTCTCAAATGTTTACTTTCAACAATTTCAAACAGAGGTCGTGTGTTTTTATAGACTGGTTTTTGTTGTTGTTGATGATGTGTTGACATTATTATGTAATGATCACAGAGTTATGTTGTTCATTACTAGCTTTTGGCATCCTTAAAAACCAATTGGACACGCTAACTTCATTCTTCTATGACACATGGAGGATAAATTATTCATAGACATCTTCTGGCATTATGATGCTGTATGATCCCGGATGGTTCCTACGACACAACAAATGCTTGTATAGCCCATGATTAGTGTCATTATTTATAAATAATTTAAAACCTGATCTTGGGTCATTTCGCTAAATCCTTTGAATCTTCAAGGAATTTTTAGATTTTACAGTTTTTTCTTTCGTCACATATCTCTCCCTTTTGTAATGTGTATTCAAAGTTCTTTACTTTAAAAATCCTAGTTATCGGAACACATGCTTTTGTTAAGGTCATTTTACAAAATGTCCATGTATTGTTTTGTTTAACGTTCTGTTTGACTTAACATCCAGTTGTTGTATGATAATGAAGAAATACCGACAGTTCAATACTTTCATAATCCAAACTCCAATTCAATACAAATATGGCATAATATGAACAAAAGTAAGATTTCTGAAACATCGTAAAAAGTAGAGGGAGAATAAGACCAGATGATTCGGAAGAGTAGGCGATCTCTGTAGCTATAAGTGTTGGTATATCCATGAAGGCCCTTCTGTTTTCCTGTTTCTGTGGTTTTTGTAGTCTCTTTAATAATGTCTGTGTCTGCTGTATCTTCAGCTTAACGTTATGGCTTATATTTTCATTCTGCTGTCACAAGAATTCCTATCATTGTAATAAAACTATTGTGTTTTATATATTTCGCAATACTTCTTCACTTCTTCACTTCTTCACTTCACCTTCTGTCCTTTGTCTTGTTGACGTGAAACCATTTGTCCGCATGAGTTTCCCAATCATTGACATAATGGCCATAAAACAGCCATTTATGTCTAAGTACGGAAACCTTACGACTCGTGTATTACGAATAATAAATTCACTATTTTTGCGTAGAACAACATATTTTTCATATTAATGTTGACCTAATTACAGAAGTATTTTTTAGAGAGAATCACGGTAGGCTGGATTGTATGACGATGTCTACAACATTACTGAGACAGTTTGTTGTTTTTACAGAAGACAGAGTCACTTTTAACATTTTTGTAACTCGTTAATTCAATATATGATGCGTGATTACATCGATATCAAGAACACGATATTGAATTAGAATGAAATACTGATAAAGTTATATACAACATCTTAACATTATCTAAATTTTACTAAAATAGACAATTTTTTAAAACAGGTTTTAATCTTTATCTGTATTCGTCCTACACAGGTTACCTGTCATTTTATATGGCTTATATCATACACCAAAATTACAAAAGTAATAAAGATTAAAAAGTACAATATCGAACAAACAAGGAAAGACCGTATAACAAATTTGGTCTCTTCCATGGCACAGAAAAAAGTAAAGTTATGCTACTTATGCTAGGCACATAAATATGACTTATTTTTTAGTTGCCAATCGTCCGAGAATTAATTGAAATGCCTTTTTCCAGTTCCGTCAGGAACCAACATTACTCTCCGCGTTACGGAGAACAAAATGACACCAAAGGCTTGTTGTACTGTGGCAAAACTTGTTTCATTTGTTCCATGTTTTTCACGATTTTATCATTATTATTTATGTGTATCGATGATTTCAATATTCATAGATTTGTAGTGTATAAGGAAATACATCACTAAAACTATGCCGTGCCAAAACGATATTTTTTCTGTAAAGTGTATACTTTGATTATCGTAGTTTTAAATATGTGCCTCTAAATCGTGTTTCCAGGTTTAACACACGATTGACGAATATGTATTAATAATAATCAAGAATTGCTAATTGTGTTATCTAGATTTTTTTGTTCTAAAGATCATAAACGTTTTATGTGAACATACAGTTTTTTTTACATTTCTTTTATAGTCATACACCATTGATGAACTCAACCATTGAAAACGTTTGTTTTCTACTTCATCATGTCAGATATCATGGAGTACTGTTGCTGATTTCCAGTACTATCATGTCAAATATCACGGAGTACCCTTGCTGATTACCAATACTTGCTGATGTTCTTTTTGTATTCCCAACTATCTCTGCATATGCACATTTCAAGGAATTTGAAACTCAAACGTTTCAATAAAAGATAAACAAATAGGCAGAATCGTTTCGATCTAAAATATTCTTTTTTAAAACTTTGTTTTGTTTGTATTATACTTTATAATCTTCATGGTAACTGTTGACTCCTTTGTACCGGCGTCAGCTGACAAACCTCGCTATAAAATATATAAATTACACCTCTTTACGAATACGGCTAGTTCATTAGGATATATAACATGAACACACTGCATGATTGACACATTTCTAATTTATAGTTGAAACGTGTTTTTGTCATTTCTTTAATTTCCATAATTACACATTCTTTCCGTCACATTGTTTCTATATGTTTTAAAGTCGATTCATTAATATTACATTACCCCATTACATTTATATGTACACAATGTAAAATTTAGTATGTAAAGTACTTACCTATATACAATTTTTATCATATAAATGAAGTTCACACCGTGTGTCACATTTTTCGTATATAAAATAAGTACATATCTTGTATAATATTTTGATTATTTAAAGCAAATTCACGCCCTGTTGGATACTAATATGTATAAAGCCATGTTATATAGAATTATAGTGCTTTCATATATATCACATATATAGGTTTCATCTATAACACAAAAGGTACCAAGATGTCATTAAATGTCCATACTTAGGTAACACAACGTAAATATCAATAATACATCAGGTTATGAATAAACATTCTATGTGGCAGGAGTCAATGTGCTTAATTAGCATAAAGGATACAAAATTAGCTTAATTCATTTTACAACCATAGCTCAACAAGCTTACAGCTTAAATCTATCATACAATTCAAACAAAATTTCAGATGAAAAAACACTATTCCGTTTTCGTCGATACAGGTCTATGTATTTTTATATCAAATTAAATGGTATGTCAAAACGGAGACATTTTCAATAACAGTATCAGACAAAACTTTGGCATTTTTCCGTAACATGACGTCATCACAATCTTACACTCTGTGTAAGGTATCACGTTAGTGTTGTGAATGGAGACCGTTTAGCAAGCATCAGCATATGCCATTTGTAATTAACATAAGACAATCATTGTAATCAACCTATGGATAAAACCTGTAGTGCTGAATGACACACTAATAATGATAAAGTATATGTAAATCACTATATCTTATATCGATATCATAAAGAGGGCTGATGACGAATAACGACGACAGCAAAAAAATGGTTACTAGCTCACGTATATGTGATGAATTTCAATTTTCTAATGTAATTTTAATTCTCAATAATCTCTAAGGTCATATTCTTTGCGATCCGATTGATGAATTTCAGTTAAGAATTAAATTTATTACGTATGCATATTGCACACTTAAGATTGATTGATGACAAATAGAACTACAGAAATAAATTTAGTGTCACTTCTTAATATTGATGATACATAAATATGCATTTCATTGTTACATATCCCGTAAGTCATGTAACACTTCTACACGTAATGTGTAATCTTTCATACAAGTTATGTTGTGAATTAAAACATATGTAACTTACGAAAGGTAATGTTCTAGAAAATTCTAGATAGGTGTTACTGAGAACCTAGTAACGGAAATTTTCAAAACATTCTCTTCTACCGAAGAAATTAAATAGGCTGTCTTTGTCTTTGTCTGCTGGAAGTAATATACCCTATATATAGAGCAATCATGGTGTGCTTTGAAACTAGGGAAGGAAGACACGATACAAATGTATTGTCATATGATCAGGCTCTAGTTCATCTTTTTCTATTATTATTAACATATAATTTATCTACATTTTATTGAAATAGCATTGGCAGAAAATATTGTGAACTTTGAATAACTTTACTGCAATATAAACAATTGTGATCCATATTTATGCCTATGCATTTACATGACTTTGTTTAATCTTACAGATATATCGCACACAAAACCCGACAGTAACAGCTGGAGTTATCATGGAAATTCAAGTATGTATTACTTACATATAGTTTACCAATATTACACACGTTTAATTTAGAGCTAATAGTTAATGAGAGACGCCGATAATGCAAAGTTTTGATGACACGGACTATTAATAGTCAATGAGAGATGTCGATAATTTAATGGTTTGAAGACATTGACAATTAATAGTCAATGAGAGATGTCGATAATTTAATGGTTTGAAGACATTGACAATTAATGGTCAATGAGAGATGTCTATAATTTAATGGTTTGATGATATTGACAATTAATAGTCAATGAGAGATGTCTATAAAATAATGGTTTGATGACATTGACAATTAATAGTCAATGAGAGATGCCGGTAATGTAATGGTTTTACAAAATGGACAATTAGTATTCAATGAAAGATGTCTATAATATAATGTTTTCATGACATGGATAATTAATATGACCAAGCCTTAGATATGATTCTTAATTCACGAATAAGATGTTTAACAATACACACGAGACACTGTTTAAAACTTGATCAAGTCAATAAAAATTATGAAATTACGCGTATTTTACGAACGATCTAGATAAAGAACATCACAGTTGCCAAATCATTCATTCTTTCTAACTAACTTAGATAATTATACTGTACCTTTTCCGACCTTATATAATTATACTTTTTTTTCCTATAAATCTCATAAAGCAATATTGTATAACATGGTGTCATATTTATATCTAACATCAATATGAAATTTTGATTTTTTTTTTTTCATATTCAGGTTCAACATTATTATTTTTGATATTTTTACAGACCCACAAAACTGGCACGAGACATATCCCAAATGCATTGGACCAAGACAATCACCTATTAATATCAACATCGAGGATGTCCGTCCCGTCAGTTGGCTGAAGCCTTTCGTTTTTTATAATTATCCATCAGATTCAGCCACACAAGTAGCAGCAACACTTGTAAACAATGGACACACTGGTACGTTTTCCTAAAAGGAAAGGAATATTCTAGAAAAAGATCAACTCTGTAGATATATGATTTAAATGTCATGTATATATGGCATGGGTTGCTTTCTGTAAGACCTACTTCTAGAGATTAAGTTTTACAGTATAATTACAACGTAATATCAATTAATGTCACACTTTTTTATCGTTGCAAAGAAACATAAATTAAATCAATGTAAATATACAGATTAAGGACAAAACCAAAATGATACTTTGCGTTAGGAACAATGTGATAAAAACGAACTGTCTTAAAAGTTCACAGCATATAGCAATTGTGGTTTGTTTATTCATTGAAAACATTCCGTTCATATAGCGAGTCTGGCCCTCGCCTCCAACTGGTTCATAGGAGGCGGTAACCTTAAGGAGCGGTATCAGGCTGCAGAGATTCATTTCCACTGGGGTGCAATGGACGAAGGCGGGGCAGAGCACAGTATCAACGGCTTCAAACACGCTATGGAGGCAAGTATCTTTAAGTCGGCAGATCTTGCGAGGTGCATACGAATTATGAAAGATTGTCCATTACTTACTGAACACTTGACATCATTGTGTCTACATAGGTTTTCCTGGTTGCATGCTGGATTACTTCTGAGTTAGTTTTTCAGAGTTCAATAGTAAATAATCATACTGTCTACCAGGAGTATTTTCTATAATTATACATAAATCATCATAACTTAAGAAACAGTCGTCTTTTTCCCTAACGAGATTCCGAAGAGGATGTCGACATGTAAAAACCCTCAATCATATTTCAAAGGAAATGAAGACAATATATGAACGACGGGAACATTTACATGAAGACACCTTAAAAGTGCATTGAAAACAATACCAGATGTTTTGGATACAGATATTGTCATATTGTAAAAGGACTGTTTTCCTATGAGATCATGAAGGCGATGAAACCTTCACATTCGTCTTTCAGAACATCGCTAAACCCTGTTGTACATTTTGTCCTACTGGTGCCTACATTTATAGTGTTAAAATTATGGTATTAAGAACGTCTAAAATAATTCCTCTTGTAAATTTATATCAAGTTTGCGCTAAAGGTTATATTTAATTCATCTAGGAATCAAAGGAAAATGATAACAAAGTACTTGATATCAAGTACTCTTCAATAAATATTTTTATATTGCTTATATATGTAATAGTCGTTATCAAGTGTGCTATAAACTGCTAAACGGGGCAAGGGCGTTTTATTTAAACACAAGCAAGATTTCAGACTTCATTTTCTATATTTAACATATAAAAAGAGAAAAGGCTAACACGTATTGAACACAATACATTCATATCTAATCATCAGAAATTTGATGTTATTATGTAAGTCTGCTAGTCATTCCAGGGCAGTACAGGTAACTTCAAACTTTACATTAATTATCCAGATGTGACATTAACACTGAAGTCTAACAAAAGAACACATACCTGTAAACTGCATACGAAATAACTCATTTATTCTGAATGTCCTGCAGATTACAGTAAAATAAAAGTGAACATTATAATAATAAACAGGGAAATCATTTGAATAAGTTAGAGATCCATCTCTACATGGTACCGGCTCATAATTGTATATATTAATATCAAGACATTGTTCGTCTTGTCACAGTGGGAACTGTATCTGAGTAGTGGTGAGGCTAGCTCGTGTTACAGTTAATGTGTTCGGGTTTATTTGGAACATGAAAGTATATAAAATTGCGTAACAATTCATTAGCATACAATATACATTTGATTTATGATATCCGGCATGGTATTAAGGAACTGATTTATCGTGATTCTATACCACACCTTTACTTGCCTCTAATTTGGCACCAAAGATGTCACATACACTCACAATTGTGGCTGGTGCACGGATATATCTTTTCTACACTAATAAAGGTCTACTTGATCTTGTAGTGCTGATAAACCTTTTTTAAACCAATACGATCAATAATTGGGGTATACTTATCTTACTGTGATAGAATTCTGATCCAATATTATGTTATATTATATAATGTCCTGAACTAGGTAACCACATTTATGCTTGTAAACTAGAGTTTTTGGTAAATCAAATTATACAAATGAGTGTATTTCGTAAATAAACAAGGATTAGTATTACAGTTATAATTTCATAATTTCTACTTCAATGTTTGCTACTGGTGCTGAATCTATCACTCCATATTTAGAAAGTGCCTGAAGGTAGGGCGTTAAAATTTTACCTTCTGCACCCGTTGCGTAATTATAAAAGGCGATCACTACTGGGATCTTTATATTTTCTCTGCCTTCTAATGCCTCTTTTGATACTTCTTTAAGTTTGTCTTTAATTGACGTTCGTCCATTTAAAAAAAGACGTTGTGTTTTGCCCCCTGGCCGTGGTATACTGAAGTCTTCAAAATTGGTAGTTACGTCTTCCTGCTGAACGCTCAGCATTATGTTCCTGGTAGGGGCTTTCGTCAGTGCTTTAAAGTCGACAGCCGTTTCCCGGCTATGACGCTATCATAAGGAGGCTTGCACTAGCTTATTTCAGCCTCCGAAAAACACGCACTCAACATCTGCACTCACTTAGCAACCAATGTTCTTAAATGACTCTAGATGTCGATGTTAAAGAAAATACTTAGTGAGACAGACACTATATTTGTTTTATATCTAACAAAGTAGCAAATTTGTGCTGCGTCTTATCTGGCGGCAAAATTTGTGCCAATACTGACATTGTGTTAAACATCATACTTAGAGCATTTCTTCGAAACGAATATTTGCTTTCCCTCTCTGTATACTACTACAACCCATTCTAAACTGAAGGAAGGCCTTCGTTCTCTAGTTACGAGAAAGGTGAACGGCGGTTCAAAAATATATTTGTGAACTCTATTGAAGCGTATTTTGTTAAGGAAAAATACGTCAAAATCAAAGGAGAAATATGCAGAGGACGAAATCATTAAAATGTCAAATTTCTGGTCGACAACATCTTCCTTGAGTTTGGTAGTAAAATCGTCCAACATGCAAAATGTAATATTTCAGTCTTTAATGCTCGTTAGTTTTTTCCTGGTGGTGTCATTTTTCTCATTTCAGAAAGTGAAATTAAACACGTAGATTAACCCAAAATTTGCATGGCGAGTGCCGTCGATGAAGCAAAAGACATTTATCCTTCTGGAGTACCTGGTCTTGTTCCCTTTGTACTTTTTCATGAGTCTTCGTGCATAATTTGCCGTAATATAATCGCATTTGTGTTTTAATTATGGTGCTCTTAACATTTTGTGTATTTTGTGGTTAGAATTGCGTCTTTCTTCGTTTCAGATCCAAATGATATTCTTCGCTACCAAGTACGGGAACCTAACAAATGCTATGACACATCACGATGGACTCGCAAGCATTGCCGTATTTGCCGATGTAAAGACCATTTATGTCTTACTCTAGTATTCAATTTATGTATAGATTTTGATAACAGAATAGTAAGACATGAATCTATATATTAAATATTCAAAATTAATTAAGTAAAAATTTTGTGTCTATTCCGATTTATTTTGTAACTTAACCCCCTAATACTAGTATTGATTATGCTTTATGTGCATAAGAGGAAGGAAACAAGGTTACTCATCCCCTTACAGAGTGTTTTCCATTGTTTTACATAGGTCATCAGGTCCTCCCTTTGTTTAACCATAATGTAGTTATGCTTTTATCTTGGGGTTTTCTCTGGATTCAATTATATTACATTATTGCATGTTATTGATTTCTGACGACTATTCATATTAACGAGGATTTTTTCCTTTATTAGGTTTCGCCCGAAGATAACCCTATATTTGAAGACCTTGTTGGATCGCTTGAAACAGTAACTGAATACGGTATTGTAGCAAAATATTCACATTTATATCTCGATTTATGAAAGTAGGGCATCTGTCTTATATTTGTGTTTATGCATATATCATTTTAGTTGAAAGGATATAAAATTTTCATAGCTGACAATAGACTTGACTTTTACTAAGCTGCATATAAAAGACAACGGGGTATTATGCTTGAAGAAGAACTGGCATTAGATTTAGATAAATAATATATATATAAGAACCTTGATTTAATTTAAATTCATTTCTCCCTCTCCCTCCACCCTCCACTCCCCTCTCTCTCTCTCTCTCTCTCTCTCTCTCTCTCTCTCTCTCTCTCTCTCTCTCTCTCTCTCTCTCTCTCTCTCTCTCTCTCTCTCTCTCTCTCTCTCTCTCTCTCTCTCTCTCTCTCTCTCTTTTCGATTTCTAAAGTAAGATAATGTTTCCAGGGAGCACATCCGATCTCCTCTCCTTCCGATTGACGGACTTTCTGCCACAAGATCCCCAGGGTTATTTCCACTACATGGGAAGTTTGACCACCCCACCATGCCACGGAAACGTCATGTGGTATGTGATGAGTGACCGCATAACGTTGTCTAGTCGACAGGTATGACAATGCATACACAATTTTTCATGTGAATGTTTTCTATCATGTCTAACTCCATTTTGTTACTTCTAAAAACTTGATGTTTAAAAAATGAATAAGGTTACAGGTATATCGGTGTTACTAAATCTTTTGAGTTGACATAAGATAGTAACTTAATTGAATAAAATGACATTTTGCATTATTATCATCAACACTATTCATTAGCTGCTACAATACATAAATTTATAAATTTCCATTTTAGAGACTGCAACATGATTTTGCTTTCTTGAGGTTTAAATACTCAAATATTCAAAAGGTAACCGAGATTCAAATAACCCGAAATTGTTTAGAATGCTGACGAAGTTGCTAATAAAAGAATACCTTTATTTCAGATTGACGCTTTCAGGTCACTTCAAACTGGCGTCGGTGAGGTTGAAGCAGTGCAAAATATCAGGGACAACGTTCGTCCAGTACAGCCTATTGTTGGTAGAACGATATTTAGCAGTAAACAGGTCATTGTAGAGTCACCAGCATCTCCTGCAGCCTATCATTCAATCCAAAAGAGGGCAGTTGCAGGGGTCATAAAACCTAAGTTCAGGTTATCCGGTAAAATCAGTGGCAAATTCAGTTTTTCAAGGGGAAGAAAGATTATGTCGAGAATTGCACCAGCAGTGAAAGAGCCAACAGAGCAACTGAGCGTTGGACATTTTTTCGGTCAAAAGAAATCTGTTTCATCGATGAACACCCAGGTGCAGCCGATAGCAAATATTAATCAAAAGTCTTCAAATCATATAATCCAACCAGCGAGCGGTGGTGGTGCGCCATCATGGAAGTCACCTCCTGCTTCCGCAGGTACCGCCTCCAAGAGCAGCTGGGCCTGGCCTGGGACTCAGACAGCAGAATCCTGGTCTCCCGCAAAAAAAGAACCCAATGTTCCCCCACCACCTCCAACAGAATTATCGAAAACAACAACCGAAAATTTCATATTACAATTCAAAGGCGCAAACAAGGCAGCAGCGATGGACCTCACAAGTAATGTACAGTTTGGTTCTATTCACGGAATTTCTGTTAAGCCACAAGAGGGTTCTGCAAGTGGTAATACCATTAGTAACACACCAAAAATAGGAGGTACACCGAACGAGCCGAACATGGAATTTGGTGTTGACCCAGCGGTACAAGTTTCAAAAATAGGCGGAGCAGAAACAGCTCCCCCATTGACAAGACCAACAACAGCGGCCCATGTTAATCCTACAGTACCGACGACTATGCCAGTTGTTGAGACAACTATGCCACCGGCTACTCCGGACCCGTCTTTGGTTCAAGAGACCAGGTTTCCGGCAGTAGCTACTCTTCCAGCAAATAGACAACATATTGCCTCCCAAACCACGGCCAGTCCCATCAATAACCACCAATCGTGGCAAATGACCGCGGCTGACCCTACCAACGGAGTACCAATGCATGAACCAACAGCTGTTCCTCCGACCACTGTACAAAGTCCACAATCAACAACACGTGTCTGGCAAACCCGTGTCTCGGAGCCAGCTATACAAGAAGCACCTCAACGACTTTGGCAATCCGGTGTTGCCGATCTAACTCATAACCAACAGGCAAGAAATTCACAATCATCTTGGCAGTCCGGAGGCTCTCAGGTATCAGGTACAGTAGCATCTAGAAAAGCATGGCATGCAAATTCACAAGGACTAAAAGGATGGCAGTCAGGATTTAAACAGGCACCAGTATTGACACAAAAGACTCCAACAAGACAAGAGTGGCATCCTATCTCATCAGCAACAGGTTTCACGGCTGCCAGCAACACGCAAATAGACAGACAACCATCATGGAATCCTGGTCAAACTTCGCAGAATCAGCAACAAGTACAGACTCAAGTACAATCTCAAGTACAATCTCAAGTTCAATCCCAACAACAACCTCAAGTACAAAATCAACCACAAACTCAATCACAAAGCAAAGCACAAAGCCAGGCTCAAACTCAATCACAAGCAAAGGAGACTGCACAAACCTGGTCCGGAAATGCAAGAGTACCTGCATCGACGCAATCAGCTCCGAACCAGTCACCTACACCATCAGGTATACCTAATAACTCCACCATGGAGGACGCAGTTGGATGGTTTGTAGCTCAGTTAAAAAGTGGCGCATTTCAGGCAAATTACAAACAGCTGTGGAATCTTCTTGACTCAGCTATAACACAATACAAGAAGGATACAGCAAAACCTGGTATGAAAGAAAAGATAAATGAACTCAACGCCAAATTACAAAAGCTCGGAGGACAATTAAGGAATTCAGTAACATTAGCTCCTAATCTACAAACATATAATCAACATAAAAACGGGCAGGCGCCATTCGTGTCCTCACCTGAAAGTCCCCAGGCAGTGCAGTCATTTGTTCAGCCTGGAAACCAATATGGTCAACAAATGGAAAGATATCGCCATCCAGAAGTTCCACAGCAGAGATCAGCATTATATCGAAAGCACGATCCTCCCCGTTCACGTTATAATCAGGATGTAAAATCAGTCAACTCTATGAATAAAATCGACAGAGGCGTAAATGCTGGCTCCGCATCGCTCAGCAATCTTCACGGCCACAAGCCACATGACACAATCACCGTTCCACAGGACATCACAGTGTTTACTCCGGTGAATGGTGGAAATCCACAATCAACACCCGCCCCAAAACCACAGACGCTGGCAAACTCAATGATTAACCCACAAGAACAGCATGTATCCAGACATGCTGAATTCAACGTTGCACAACCTAACCAGGTACAACAGCATGGATTCGAACCTAATGTTCCAGTTAATGAGCCTTTCAGTACTGCTTACGAGCAATTAACAACAATGGCTACTCCTATAACTACTGTTAAAGTCGTACGGAAGAAGCCGTCTTTTTCTGTCGGCAAAAGTAAAACGGCACACAGCTTCAAAATGACAGGAGGTTCTAGATTTTCAGCAAAATCGTCGTTTTCTGCTCGTAAAGCTGTATCAGCATCATCTTTTTCACCAAAAAGGATGAACACTTGGTCTGGTTCTTCTGCCAATCAAAAGAAGTTGGAAGAGCAGCGACTTCAGGAACAACAATTGAAGGAACAGCAGGAACAGGCAAGATTACAACAAGAACAGCGACGCCAAGAACAAATTAGACTGCAGCAGGAACAACAACAGCAAGAGCAATTAAGGTTACAGCAAGAGCAACTACAGCAAGAACAATTAAGAATGCAACAGCAGGAACAGCAACGTCAAGAACAAATGAGAATACAACAAGAACAGATGCAGCAAGAACAATTAAGATTACAGGAACAGCAGCGTCAAGAACAAATTATGCTACAGCAAGAACAGCAACGACAAGAACAATTGAGATTACAGCAAGAACAACAAGAAAAGCTGCGATTACAGCAAGAGCAACAGCGTCAGGAACAACTGAGATTACAACAACAAGAACAGCAGCGTCAAGAACAAATGAGATTACAGCAAGAACAACAACAGCGTCAAGAACAAATGAGATTACAATCCCAAGGACAACATTTCCCAAATCAACAGCAACAGCATATGTTTAATCCTACACACGATCCTTTCCAATCGCAGCAACAATTCCCACAACATAACCAGATGCAACATCAATTTAAGGAGGTGGCCCAACAACAACAACAACAACATCAGCAACAATTACCACAACAACAACAACATCAGCAACAATTACAACAACAACAACATCAGCAACAACTACCACAGCAACAACATCAGCAACAATTACCACAGCAACAACATCAGCAACAACTACAACAACATCAGCAACAATTACCACAACAACAACATCAGCAACAATTACCACAACATCACCAGCAGCCTCAACAAAATCAGCAATCACCACCTCAACAACAGTCGCCACCACAACAACAACAACACATGAATCCGATGGATACTTTCCAAATTCAACCGCAGCAAGCTCAGCCGTATCAAAACCAGCAACATCAGCAACATTTCATGGAAACACCTCCTGCCGAACCTGCTCATCAATTTGGACCTTCGGGTAGAATTAACGTTCCTACGCCTGCACATGGATCAATTTTGGACCAAGCGTTAGGTGTAAATCCGACACAACCTATTCCCAAAGTCAATCATGGAGGGAATGCTAACACTAACAGCATTGTCCCAAGCAAAGGCCCAGAGGTCGCTCCATTTGGTCAGCATCAACCACAGGTGAATGCTTGGGCTCCAGGTGCATGGGTGGATCCTATTCCTGCAGGTCAACAGGCATCTAATCCACAACACGGTGTCGGTACAATGCCCATGCAGGCTCAGCATTCCACTTTTAACCCGTTTGGTGTCCAGGACCCATTCCAACATAATGCAGGGCCAACGGTCCCTCGACATGAATTTATGCAGGCACCAACCAAAGTCGCTAAAGCTCCAGGCTTCCGTCGTAACGCGAGAGTACAGAGTACGGCTTCTGTTATGCAAGCTAGTCACCAGCAAATGCATGCGCGTGCATTTGATAGACCGCCTTCAACAACTGTGGCCCCAGCGGCAAAGGCTGTAGATTTCTGGAATCAGCCAATGATCACGCAGAGAATACCAACACCTGCTGTAACCCAAATGCCAACCACATTCGCCCCACCACCTACCCATGCTCCGATACCGTCATCCCGATGGGCACCTATGGTACCACAATCTCCACCACCCAGGAGACCCACAGTGCCCGTCACTCAATTAGCCAAGCCGGTGACGTCCCAGAAACCAAAACCAAAGCCTAAACCAAAACCTAAAGGAAGGAAATCCAAACCAAGAAGGTAAGTAGAATCGTATGTCTGTATAGGGAATAGACCTTCATGGTGTATGTTCTTAATTACATACAGTCAGATGCGACAGTTCAGTGGCAAGTATGGTTATGTATCCTGAATGACCTTTATTAGGATATGCATCAGTTAAGTGCTCTGTAAACATTGAAAGAACAAATAACAAGGGTCACAGTTCAGCATCAGGCTTGGACATCTATGTTGTATGACATTGATTTGTGGGAGATCACTCCTCAGCCAGCGGTTAGTGAAAATTTTAAAATACGGAAATAACTAATTTGGGATCATTCAATATCATTTCAAAAGCTTCTGGGTTTTTTTTTATTTCATATTGATTTTTTAAAAGAAATTCTTAGAAGTCCAAAGTTTTTTTTTCAAAAATTAATATTTCTCATTAACCACAGATGAAATTTAACCAAATTTGTTCCAGATAGTTGATACACGTACACTGTATGGTATCGAAGTGAGTAATGAGCTAAAGCCGTAAACATTGTTAGTGGAAGATCAGAATTTTGTTATAATGCCACTGAATATAGTAATGATTCTCTCAAATCTAATTGTGATATTTTTTACTTTCAGGAGAAATAAGAAAAGGTTTGGCTTGTCAAAATTACGTAAGTATCTAAATTATTTTATGCACATTTCCTAGAATTCCCAGGCCTTAATGAACTAGCTATTTTCTCGGTTGACATTGTGAATTCCTTTTTTTAAACTATATTATGTCCATGTAATCTAGATTATATTATGTCTAGATAAACGGTTGACGTTAATTTGTTTAACTAAAGTTTAAGTTAAATTGTTCTGTACTAAGATTATCACAGGCTGCTCGGAGGATATGACACAAAATGGATATGAGACAATAACCTCTTACACTCCCACTTCTTGCACGAGTCGTCAAACAATGCAATGTATTGAATTGTGGGACTGGGGCATTTGCCTCGTATTGATTTCTATATTTCTTTCAAACACCAATGATTTTCCTAAAGCACGTAAGTCCTAGAAGGACGAAACAGCTGTATGGTGCGTTTTGATTCGTTATTTAGCTCTATTGTATCTGGTTCAAATTTCAAATATTATCTCGTGCCCAATGGCATCAAAACGCGTTTAGTCAAAGAGATACACGGGCTTTAAAGAATACAAGCTTTATCAATCAATGTGCCCAAAGGATTGTAAAAGAGACGCACAATAAATCAACATCTGCCAATACAAATATGGAATTAGGTACAGTATAGCAAAATACCCAATTAAGCTGCATCATTGAAGTGTTTCGTCCTTCTAGAACTCGTAAGTGCAATAAGGTCTAAAGTGTTGATACTTGGAAAGCGATTAAGGAAAATCGAAATAGCTCAAATCAGTATAGAAATTAACTTGGAACACATGTTTTTCAATATTTCAAATATAAAAAACGGACTTCACATCAATTAATCACTAATTTTGGCTTACGACTTTAGTTGCAGGGTTTGGACCAAAGCTGCGCGTGGAAGGTTAAACAACGGAAACGGCTAAAACTTGAGTTGAATTTGGTAGGAACTCCTCTCCTTTATGAAGTGAGAAATAAACACGTTCAAGCTGCAATAAATATAAGAAATGTACGAAACCAGGACATTTTTACCAACAGTGTTTTGAAAGACACGCCGCAATACAAACTGTAACAGTAAATCGGAGTCTGTGGTTACGATCGAGAGCAGGCTATAATTTATATTGCTATCAGAAATTTATATATTGTTAAACTTTCAGTAACGTTAAAAATTTATAAGAATTATTTTGTCTAAAGCGCGTTTAACTTTTACGAAAATAATAAAATCCATCTCTGTATTTAATGGATCATTTATCCGCCATTAAAACCTGCTACTGCAGCATGAATGCGTATCATGTTCATGGTTTACCTCTGTTCTGTAGGACAATCATTACATTTTCTGTGTATATTTTGTCAACAATACGCCATCTATGTGTTGGCAAATAATCCATCAGACTCACTAGTGGAAAGGGCAATGGAGATGACATCCTGTTTGCAGCAGATCCAACGTGTTTCAACAGAGTGTTTGAGGCCGAATCTGGATCAGAATGGACAAGTTTTTTGATACTTGTGTCCGGATTCCGGTCGCCATTCTGGCATTTACCACAGACAAAGTGATCTAAAACCATATAATATTTTGTACAAAAGTGTTTTGTTTATAAGTAGTTAATTCGATTTATTGTTAGGAATAAAGCTACCTGTGGTTCGTGTAAATAAACTTATACAAAACGTATCAATATATTTGTCTCCTGTTACATACTTCTTTTTAAAAAAAATCACATTTATTCCTGAACTATACGCGATTCATTCACAGAAGGATGATCACTGCTAATTTGTCACTACACCAATTGAAGACCAGAGCATATTCTTGCGATAGATAAACTAGGAAAACAGCACATTTAGACATTCTTTAGACGTTCTTAATCCGAAGACTCGACCCATTGGTCATCTAAATAAAGGCCATATAGACATTCATCAGACTACAATGGAGCTTGTCAGAGAGTCCATAGATTGGTCTACTATGTAACATCGTGGTTGGCATTCAGCGGATTAGTATTTGGACAGAGCGCCGTCCTCTATACAACTGGAAGTATGACTACTAGTGAGGTCTTTCGACAGCTTGAATAAAAGGGATTAATGACTTACGAAGCAAATAAAGAAATGAACACGTTGCTCTCTTCAAGCGATCAAAAAATAGATAATGCACTTCAATTGTTTCAAAAGCTGCAGCATCTTTTAGGCCATCGACAATGACGTTGCTGCAGCGAACTCTTAAACCATGAAATAATTTATTTCCTTTTTAACTGCCATACACATTAATGTATGTAATTATATATGTATTTGCCCGGATTTTAAGTTATGAGGTGCTATAGAAATAAGAATTTGGAGTTGAGTTTGTGTAATCAAATATTTACACGATTGCCAATGTAATTACACTCATAACTCTGATTTGAAATGACAACAGGAGCAATAGCGCCCAGCCAATCAGTGATTGTCTGGAGGTCCTTTGGCTCTTTCTCGTCAAATTCATTGTGTTGTCATCTGAAAAGAGATATAATGTGAGAATATTACTGATTTTAGCTGATATAATAGTCTTGATAAAACGCAGTTTTCACGAAAAGTATCGAAACTACGTGATAAACAGAATCTTACGTGAGTTCTCATTTCATACAAGAATTATAAAACTCGTCTCGAATTGCTTACTGGTTAAAGGCTCGTCAGAACAAAAAGTGGTTTTGCTAATTTCCTAGACCTCATATAAAATAGAATTTCTTGTAAGATTGTCTGTTAATGATGTCATATATCAACCACTTTTTAAAGAAGGGGTACCTTAGCGTTCTAGTCACTGTGCCTACAAGGTCATAGATTTCAACTTTCTCACACAAAACAGTCAACTCAACATACCGACTACAATAGGCTTGTTCCTGGTGTATGGAAACAATGTCTCGAGTTGGTTAACATTGAAATCAATGGGCCGCAGATATTCATATGAAACAAACAGGTGTTCTAGGAGAGTAAGCGTCTCCTGCTTTATCGATGACATCCGTCATGTTAATCTTGGTCAATCCAAATAAGTGATGTCATTTTCTCAAATGAGAACAAGGTATACAACAACGCAACCAACAAGCAAAATAACGAGCATCAAGCACATCCAGCTTTATATCGCGCAAACAAAAAGAAAATTTCTTATTAGTTCACTGAGACGATCGTTAAACTTTCTCATAATTTTCATCAATCTGCTTCATTTGAACCTTGTATTATGAGTTTGTTCGTCTACAATGACGAATTCTAGAAGTCGTCATCGTAGAAGTTCGACATTAAAGCTGTGAAATGAAATTATTTAACAAGATGAGTAAATTATCCACTGTACAAGTCAGTGTGAATCAGTAATAGAAATGTAATCGATAAACAGCAGTAGACTTCTAGCACACCTTGAAAACAAAATAAATTCTGAAAAAATAGGTCTAAACGGACGACAGGGTAATTATAACATAAATATACATGTAGGTTTAGGGTTTATTGATTTAACATAAGCAGCAGGTAAGTAACTACTGTCCGGTTGTTTTAAGGTTGGCCAATGTAAGGTAGTAAAAGTGAAACAAAATGTGACTGTCAACTACTTTTCAGTTTCAGACAATTTTTCAGCGCAAGCCTTCACATCCATCGCAAACACAACAATATAAACCTTTATTGGGAAGTAAGGTCCAAAACGTTGCATAAAATGTTCATTATAAACTTCCGTCATATGAACACATATGATGGATTGCGGCATCAAAACGGATTTTGAATTATGACTTGGCTAACTTGACACAATGTCAGATACATAATAAGTATTTCCGTTTAATATTGATAAAACTTGCACCTTCTACTTCATTTGAATAATTTTTCAATAACGATTTGCTGTCAATCGAAGCTATTTTATCTAACCCATTTTATATCACATGATTAACTCTACTCGACACTATGTCTATATAAAATGAACAGGAAATCGCTTATTGTTTCACTAAGTGTGCATAACACTACATCAATACACGATACCAAAATAAGACATGGTCACTTTGTCCGTCCATACATCCGCCTCTAAGTACAGTTCTGTGTCTGTGTCTCTTTAATCATGGACATTTATATGACTGACCATTACGCCACATTTGCTGAACCTTGGTTAGTACGGTTGATCTTCGTAAACTTTCCTGTTGGTTCAGTTGTTGTAAACTTTGTTCTCCTTGACGTTTGTCATGCGTCTCCATGTAAATATTTCTTTTGTTGATGTTTCGGTTTAGTTTTATTGAATTTGAGTTTGGCTAACAATTATGTTGACATGTTTGTATTTTGTTCTTGTTTTTTTTTCTCTCATATTCACTTTGAGTTTCACCGCAATAGCCATGTCCATATGAAGACGGATTTCAGGAGTGATAGTATTACAAAGTGAGAAGTGAAGGAAAAAATATAATGATTTGAAATATTGCAAAAGAACAACAGATCGAATTTTTGTCCACCGTCCGTAAACAAAAACAATATTGCTATCTACTTTCTTATACTAGAATAAAGAAGGTCTTATGTTTCTGAAAGCAGATGTCAAAATTTAATTCGGGAAGGAAGGTTGTTACTCACCAGAAATGGAAAATTTAAAATAGGATAACTGAAATCATCACGCTTGTCATACAGCTCGGTAGAAAGCTGTCCCTGTTAGTTTCCTTATAGAAGATCGAGGTAAGCGACTGATGTAGAAGAGTCTGTCGTGTCCTTTGATTTACAATTCTGGTGGATATACAAGACACGATCAACTGACGTTTTGTTATTTAAGACAACACAGCGTCAAAACAATAAATGCGCATGACTTAAATCTTCATGACCTATTTGTTAAGGCATTCCATTGATTCAACAGTTTCGATGAAATATCTTAAGCAGATTCAACGAAGATATGTTAAATAAAAAATCCAATCATTCTAACGACGTCCGCATCAGTATATTTCGCGAAAAACACTCCAGTAAAAGACACAACCATATCAAAGCACATAAATTATCGTAAACTTTTCTTTGAAAATCAATTACAGAATTTATTTAGTTCTTTTAGCAGTGGAAAGATGGAGAGCCATGATAATCGATGTCTGCGAGACCAGACCAAACACTTGATGAAGAAGAAGTAGTAGTGGAAAGATGGATTTTTAAAGAAAAACTCTTCAAAACCTATGTCACATCAATTCCACTTCTCGAGTACACAGTATTGTAACTAGACTACAACTCAAATAAAAGAGTAGCTTGTTTAAACAAGAGACCTTGAGCGGTGTATGACCTTTTCCATGTACATCATAACGAGCAGTAGTAGGAAGAACTGATATTGAATGACTAAAACAGTTGGGAATATTTAGCAGCAAAGACATCTCTGTTTCACCACATTCCCGCAAATTCAGCCCAAAGGCACTATTAGGATTGAGATGGCTGTCATGGCGGCCATATTGGATTTTGGACTGTCCCGAGAAATAATTATTTGGCGAGAACTATCTCTGAATCATTTCAGCCGATTTTCAGTTGAATCCCACTACTGGAACACGAAAACAGAACACTTTTAAAACAGGTAATGTTCAGGGAAACCATGAATATGTAATCATGTTACAAAACGACCACCACGACTGCCAATTTTAACTTTCGAGGAGACTAAAAATTAACATCACGTTGTTGGCTTCCTTTTCCAGCATTTGATAAACAAATGAGTAGAGAGAACACGACAACATCTCCTTCAGGATTTTAATATTATAATTTTATTTCCAAATATTAGCAAGTCTGAATATGCATAATCTACATATCTATATTTTACGGAGGGAAGACTGGGGTAAAGTATGTATACTATTCCATATCATGTATGCTAATACATATGAATACAAATACACCATAATTTAATTCTACGAGAAGTTGACCTCATTACATATCTAATTATCATACTTCTAGAAAACAAAGCTAAAAGAATGCACAATAAAAATGGAATATTGGATTTCATAAAGTAATATCCATAAGGATTTCTAAATGCCTGAATGTGGATCTTGTCCAAGGTTTTCAAAATGTCCTGTGGACTTGATCCGAGATTCCCGAGGTGTCTCACAGACCAGGTCCGATGTTTCCAAAAATCACTATCTATTGGACCTGGTCCAAAATGTACAGTCTTTTGAAGCTGTGCCTGGGGATTATAGTAAAAATGTTTAATTGTAACTGTAAAGTGATTGTCCTTTACGTCTCACTTCAGACCATTATTTTCAATACAGAGAATCGTATTTGTATCTGTAATAATGTCTTAATAAAAAAAAGATCAGGTTAATATCAACTACCACTACATTTTAAACTTAAAAAAGGTATGCTCTTTAACGTAATGTCCCCTCCCCCCACTTTCTTCGTGATTTTGTTAAGGGAGACTATCTGGAGAGGTATATAATATAAATAGTAAAATAATATATAAATAGTAACAGTGGCGTTTGTACAGTTGTTTTTTTACACGACAAATCTGCATTTAATCCACAGAATTGTTTTACATGGTTAAATAAATATATATCTAACAAGGGATCTGTATATTTCATTTTACCACAATATTAGGGTTATTGTAGTGATCCTTAAGATATAATATACAGCGGTTCATCAGATCATGTGTACATCTACTCATTTATGCTGTCTATTCTATAGGGAAGACTGATGTACTGATGTTTCAAAATGTTGACCAGGGGGACTCCTATATCAGCAAAATACAATTCATTATATACATCTAATATACATGGAATTAAAAGTGTTGTCCTTAGAGGCAACGTACACAGGAACTGGTATGTAGTGATGTAGTGTAACACACCGTACATAGGCCCTGTCATGTAGTGATGTAGTGTAACACTCCGCACACAGGCCCTGTCTTGTAGTGTAACACTCCGTACACAGGCCCTGTCATGTAGTGTAACACTCCGTACACAGGCCCTGTCATGTAGTGATGTAGTGTAACACTCCGTACATAGGCCCTGTCATGTAGTGTAACACTCCGTACACAGGCCCTGTCATGTAGTGTAACACTCCGTACACAGGCCCTGTCATGTAGTGTAACACTCCGTACACAGGCCATGTCATGTAATGATGTAGTGTAACACTCCGTACACAGGCCATGTCATGTAATGATGTAGTGTAACACTCCGTACACAGGCCCTGTCATGTTGTGTAACACTCCGTACACAGACCCTGTCATGTAGTGATGTAGTGTAACACTCCGTACACAGGAACTGTCATGTAGTGATGTAGTGTAACACTCCGTACATAAGCCCTGTCATGCAGTGTAACACTCCGTACATAAGCCCTGTCATGTAGTGTAACACTCCGTACACAGTCCCTACCATGTAGTAATGTAGTGTAACACTCCGTACACAGACACTGTCATGTAGTGATGTAGTGTAACACTCCGTACACAGGCCCTGTTATGTAGTGATGTAACACTCCGTACACACGCCCTGCCATGCAGTGATGAAGCCGCAATTTTACCCGGTAGAAATGATATAAAAAATGATGAATGCACTATTTTTTGTTGAGTACTCTTCTTCAGTATCTGAAAACTACTTACATGGTGTGATATAATGAGATGTGTAGTTTGATAACCCCTGGTGCTAGACGGTGTTCGCGTAATTTTCCTGATCTGACAACAACGTAATTTGCATATTATATATGATGGCTGCGCTTTGAAGTGGGATTTTGGCTATGGTTTTAATGAGATTGCGTTTGTGTCGTACATAATTTGTAAGCTATTCAATGTATTATGTAATGCATGATAAGGTCTTTACTGGGAAATACATAGAGAGTTTGCTGTGCATTTCGCCAATTATTGTGGCTATCGTTTAAGAGTAAAGTATTCCCGCCTACATACTAGGTGACCGCTTCTCATGACTAGATATTTGTTGATGACGAGTGTCTAAAAGTCATTTCTGTTAACACAAGTATGAACGTAGAAACGTGACCAGGACCGTTAACGTCACGCCGACGGTTGAAATCTTGGAAGCCGAGTTAATTTCGCTCTCTAACTGGAAGTTTCGTAGCACTTCCCGTCCATTTAACGGGTGCACAGGCCGGAAGTTGTCAACGAGTGGGTGGGAATGACCTCTTCCTTCTGATGACACAGATCTGAACCTGTCCAGCTATTTTAAATAAACAAACACAAAACCAAGAGTTATTTCCCTTAAAACATATTTGAAATTATTACCAAAATTATTACGAAATTCTGTGATTACATTCAAGCTAGAAAGTGGAATTGAAAAGTAAACAGCAGGCTGAATAATTAAAAAAATGTAAAATTGTAAAAGTCATAGTAAAATATCAAAGCGATATGAGAAGCATTTAATAAGATTAATCGTTTCCTTAAAGCGTTGTAGACAAGCTCTGCATTGAGTAAATCTAAAAGTTCTTCATAAACATATTTACCTGCTGTCGGGACAGAAATATTTTGTCCTCAAACATTGTCCACGTAACACTTTCAAAGCAAGGGGGTGTGGTCAGACTCCCTTTGTACCGGAAAAACCTGTTGATGCGTTTAGGTAGCATAGCCCCAATGTTTACAGTGAGTGGGGTATTAGTATCTACAATGTAGAACATTGCCTTTATATTTTAAATGTTATAAACAAATTGCATTATGTAATCTGTAAAATAAAAACACGACAAAAGAAAAAAATCATTGAATAAAACAAAAGCAAAAACGATAATTCCTTTACAAAACGGCCAAGGTTAAAACTCCAAACTATATATAGAACTTGTACATCAAATAATAGATTGGCGGATTGTATAGAAATCTATGTACACAATAGTAAATGTATATTTATTATGTACTCTGTATGTATATCATCTCCGTAAATGCCATGTTATATTACAAATACATACCAGTGTACGTATTATACAATACAGTGTATATAATGTATAATGAATACCAGTATATTGTAATGTACAATACATACCTGTGTATTACATTGTATAATACATACCAGTGTATTGTAATGTACAATACATACCTGTGTATTACATTGTATAATACATACCAGTGTATTGTAATGTACAATACATACCTGTGTATTACATTGTATAATACATACCAGTGTATTGTACAATTCATACCTGTATATCTAACTAGGTATGTGACGGTAATATTACTGTGTACATATGTACACAGATAAGTAATGTTTTATGTATGTACCTAGAAACGTCATATTTACCTTTAAAAGTCAAGTTGCCTATTGCGTCGACAATTGGTGCAAACGCGGCGTTGTCAGTCTGCAACAAAGAACGAAAGAGTACGGTCTAAGGGATATAACTCGTATTGATGCTGCACACAGGGGTTCTTCAATACTTAATAAGATTCGTCTACATGTCGTTCACAACTAGGAACCAGACCTCATGCCATTTTGTCCCTAACGATGCCGACATTGATTAAAAGTGTTGCTATTATAAATGTAAGACCGTTTTCACAAACCGATGATATAAATGAAATGATGAAAACATGACATCAACTGTATTTTTTAATGGATAACTCCGTTTTATCATGACCTAAAACATATCGTACTGTGTGATACGTTACTATAATATTCTATAGTAACGATTGCATATATTTGTACCTACCGGTGTGTGCGTCACCCAGAATCCTAATACAGCTAGTCCATCAGACTTGTCTATTGCCTCTCCCAAGCTGCCGTACTTTTTGTTGTAGTTTACGACGTGCATCTTCAAAAAAGATTTTTAAAAAAGGAATGAGAAGGTATAATATAGGTATGAATGTTTAAATAACACTTTTCTAAACCAGTAGGTGTTGACTTAAGTAAACTGTCATATATACTTGCACATGCGTAGTTACATTTTAAACCCAACTCTCAAGCTGTTACCTAAATACCAAAACCCTAAACACCTTGCTGTCGACCCTTACATACCTCCATGGGATAGGGACGTCCATTATAGACATGTTCGGACCCTTCCGAGTTGTCATGGCCCCAATGGAAGTGTAACTGAGCCATTTTATAGCTGTTCCCTGGAAGTCCTCCGCCAGAAACGATCAAGTCACCGACAACATCGACCTGCACTGTAACACGTGACGTCATAAATTAATGGTTATGGTACGTATAAGACGTAAGAAAGTTGAACTCGTGCGTGTGTCACGTGTACGAACGAAACATGACGTCAGATGTATGTAATATACCCTACGCGAACATGTGCGTTCATGTAACGTACAAAACAGTAATTCCTGCGTGTGAAACATACAAAACAGTAATTCCTGCGTATGAAACGTACAAAACAGTAATTACTGCGTATGTAACGTAAAAAACAGTAATTCCTGTGTATGTAACGAACAAAACAGTAATTCCTGTGTGTGTAGCGTACAAAACAGTAATTCCTGCGTGTGTAACGTACAAAACAGTAATTCCTGCGTGTGTAACGTACAAAACAGTAATTCCTGCGTATGTAACGTACAAAACAGTAATTCCTGTGCGTGTAACGTACAAAACAGTAATTCCAGCGTATGTAACGTACAAAACAGTAATTCCTGCGTATGTAACGTACAAAACAGTAATTCCTGCGTATGTAATATACAAAATAGAAGGACAGTGCACATAGATATCAATACAAGACATGAACACATTTTTCCTTGATGTAAAGAAACAAACACATATTCACCTTTTCCGTATAAGGTGTAAAAATGTTTTTAATGCACTCACAAGTGTGTGTGATGTGTTTTCGCCCTAACAAACTCACAAGTGTGTGTGATGTGTTGTCCCCCTAACAAATTCACAAGTTTGTGTGATGGGTTTTCACCTTAACAAACTCACATGTGTGACCATTGTTTTTCATCGTAGTTACGTAATGGTGAGTGTCCTCAAATCCTTGAAGCTGGAAGTTGCTCATGATAGAGTAGTCCTGTTTTATAACAGATGGGATGTCTACTGGGGACTGGTACCGTCCCATACAGACCGAGTTGGTCACCTGGTCCCAGCCTGGAGGGTCTGCGAAGATAACGGGTACAAATAATAGACCGAATACTGATGTAATACACTAATGTCTGTGGCAGTTCCACATGGTGAATATCATTGTCTACACTCAATAATCTATTTTGGTTTAAATCAAGTTATAATCGACAAAAACAGCATTATATATTCCAATATTTCTGAATGGGAGTCATTTGCTCTTGTGTGTATTTATTGATTGTTACGTCATTTATTTCTGAGTGTAACGTCATGACAAAACGCCGTAAGTTTCTCATGTGAACTAGTGACGTCACAATTCATTACTCCGCATTAATAAAAGAAAATATAGAGACTGTAAATACCGTGTTTATATGTATAATTGTAAAGTCTTTGGGAGCGAGTGTAGTAGTTTAACTTGTGTATTTCACTGTAGTGAACAAACGTGACAAAATATTTTGGCGACAATTATCCTTGAACCTTATCATTAATGAACTTTTCCTTCCTTGAATATTGTGTTATTTGTTGTCCTAACTAGTTCGTGGTGTTTAAGGTTATCCTAGTTTATCCGTTCAGACAACTTCTCTGTACGTTTGCCGATCAAGATACTAATCGTGTAGTTTTGTTCAGACATGCTCTTGTTGTCTGCGCACGTTGCTGTTATGTCCACCATTTTGCTATCCGTCATGGGCACAAAGCATTACTGGAAATTCCACTTCCTTGTGATAGTATGTGTGATTTTTTTCACTTTTTTTTCTTCGTACGTGTTATCATTGCTTCACAAGCGACCTCAGCAGGTCCGCTCGAGCTACGCTCGCTATAACACGACAGTTCGGCACCTAATTAATCACGTGACCGCTAAAGACACCAAATCCGACGATATAATTATGGTAAAACTTTTAACAAAAGTAGTCTGCTGTTAAACAATTTTGCAAATTGACATAAGAAAGCGAAATAACTTACATGTTTACTGTGTGTATGCAGTACATAACAAATTCAAAACTGAAGGTAAATCAATCGATGTTTTACCAAATGACGTCATGATCCAATATCACTGACATCATACATCATACAACATAGTCATTTTAAGGTATCTCTGTGCCTTCCTTCTCAAACGAATATTTTTCTAAGTACATTTATCATTTTTTTTTAAATCTACTTTTTTTTTAAAGTAAATGAGTTTGTCTCTGGGGTTCGTGTTGGTCAAGCAGATTCTTGGATGTTGATATTTCCGGCATATTGTCTCACAGTTCATTTTGATGTAATGTCATCTTAAGTTTTCTACAGTGATTATTTATTCTCTCATTTGTTCAGGAAAATGAATTAATATTAATCTTGGTAGACGCAGAAATCTTTCTCTGAAAATTTCACAAGAATGAAAGTACATATGTACATGGGTTGCTTATCTACAGAAATCAATTACAAGAAAATAACAACAGATAGACTTCATAAACGAGTAGTCTGGTTTTCAATAAGAAATCACTATAAATTCATCGATTTCCCTTATCTTCATATGTTACGTACCGGATTTGGAGCCAGGCGCGCCATAATGCCAATCTGAAAAAAACAAAAAACAAAATGATTAAGTTAATTAGAACAATAGCTACAAAACATCTTTAACAATACAAACAGAATATATATATATATATTAAAATCTACGTTGTTTTTTTTACATTATGAAAAATAAGTAATCTAGTTTATCTTAAAAATAATATCTGCCCCACCATCGCACCAGGCGTCCACCATCTTACCCAGCGCCCACTATCTTACCCAAAGCTCACAATGTTACCAAACGTCCACCATGATTCCCAACACCCACCTTGTTACCCAGCGCCCAACATGTTACCCAACGTCCACCTTGTTACCCAGCACCCAACATGTTACCCAACGTCCACCTTGTTACCCAGCGCCCACCATGTTACCCGGCGCTCACCATGTTACCCAGCGCCCATCATCTTACCCAGCACCCACTATCTTACCCAGCGCCCAATATCTTACCCAAAGTGCACTATCTTACCCAGCGACCACCATGTTACCCATTGCCCGTCATCTTATCGAACACCCTCCATCTCACCCGGCTCCCACCATGTTACCCAGCGTCCATCATGTTACCCAGTGCCCACCTTCTCATCCAGCGCCCTCCATCTCACCCGGCGCTCACCATGTTACCCAGCGCTCACCATCTCATCCAGCGCCCACCATCTCACCAAGCGTCTGTTTCTATAATTGGTATTCCGAAGTACGAAGTTAAAAAAACGGAATTCCGTTATATACCATGATATAGAAATTATTAAGGAAAAAAAGCCTTGACAACTGGCATGTAGTCTGGTAAATACCATTCATTCATATATAACATTCTATTTGAAAATTCCTTCCATCAAACTACCTCGCACTGTGTGCACTTGGCGAAATATTCAACCTAGAATTCGTCCGGATGTCAGATAGCATGCGAGTTTGTTCTGTATCAGGTCGTGTCAAAGTGTCTGTGATCTGTGATAAGTGTACATGTTTTAGGGGTTAAATACAGATGTAAGTCCGATCAGAGTAAAAGTGCTGATATCGCCGTTACATCGCCCCAGATCATCCCAGTGAAATAGTACAACTTCAGACGTTGAACAGTCGGAGTCCTAACCATGGTAACATTGTAACTTCCATTTTAAAACAATGGAATTTTAGAAAGTAGAAATGTGAATACAGACAGAATACAAATTTCAACCACTTTCTTCTGACGAAGTTATAAATATATTATTTCACTAAAACGGTTTTGATAAAAATGTCAGAATATTTAACGACAATCGCGCCTTATATTGATTTCAGGTTATATAAAATAAACTCCCATCTCAATAATGGTTGATTATCCATTTAATTGATACGGTTTGGAAACTTTGAAACTTTAGCGTAAAATATATTAAAGAGCCAGACCCACTCCTCGACCGATATTATTTTATATAAAACAAAAGATTCATGATTTTCTATTTTTCTCGGATAGCAAAAGTTCTGACTAACCCTGTAATACCACAATTTTAAAGTAAATCGCTACCAATCTAACGTAATAAATAGTTTTAAAAAAGAATTCGAAACGACTCAGTGCTCACTGCCCTCTGACGCATGCGCAAAGAACTGTAAATAAATCTACCGTCTTCCAACATGGCAGAAAGCGTGCGAGGGTAGCGGGGAAGAAAACGTGTTTTGCGAAAAGAAGGAAGATGGCTGGTTCATACTCTGTATGGCTCTCTGGTTTTCTCGTGTAGTATCACTCTAAAATCATGTTCATAAATATCATCGAATATTTGCTTTATATAGATCGATTTCGCGATGTTCTATATGTTCGTTACCGTATCGTAGCCCCCATTTGAGGGCCTCTTTGCAATTAATCGTAGTTTTTCTCGTAATCTGCACGTTTTTGTGTCATATCTAAGCATTGAAAGATGTGATCAATACATACGTTAGATGATTTCCATACAGGATATATATATTGATTGCATTTACCGGTAAAATCTCTTTACAAGCGATGTCACATGGACGTACTACTCACTTCTTCCTCCATTTTTGTTTTGGTTCTGACCGCGTCTGAACGTATCACGTGACTTTTCCTCATCAATATTCAGATCCTGGTGTTGATTAATGAGAATAATTTCGGCACCGATATCTCCGGTTCCCTTTCAATTTCAAGTTCGAAACTTTATACAAGTCTTTATTTATATGTTATCTATTAGTATACAACATTTCCAGTCAATAAATTATGAAAAAAAAATTCTATAACGGAGTGGGTCTGGCTCTTTAAAAACTAAACACAAGTTCATGTTTCGAATTAGTTATTTCGACAGCTTCAACTAGGCTACGTTTCATTTGTTTTATCAAGATGTTTACATCTGGAAAGTTCGTGTGTGAATTAGGACGTACCGAATTTTATTTAACATTGAAAAAGCAGGACAGTGTATATACATGTAACGTGTCGTGTATACAATGCTGCCGGGAATCCGTACAATATGTGTACAGATCTAGATCTGTCTCCAATTGGTTTTGACAGTGACAGGATGCCAGGGTGATTCCGATCTAAACAAATGTCAGTTGTCTGTAAGTTATGTGACAGATATCAACTCGTCAAGAAAAAGTATGTTTCAATAGTGTATTTGTTCTCTAAAAACGGATCCTCTTACAATCAATGTCCCGACGATTAAAATAGACCTTTGGATTTCGACTTCTAGAGAAAGTCCACCCCCCCCTTTTTTTTAACAAAAGACGGTAACCATGGAAACGAAGCTCGCGGGAACGTAGATAACGTTCTACAAAGATGACGGTGAACATGGAAACGAAAAATGCTTTCTTAACTAATGATCACGGAAACGAACCTCACAGAATGAGAATAACTTCTATACAGATGACGGTAACCACGGAAACGGAAAAACGTCCTTTGATATATTAAAGAAACCATTGAAACAATACTCAGTGAACGAAGTTAACATTCTATAGAGTGAACGGTAACCATGGGAACGAAGACAACGTTCTTCCCAGATGATGATAAGTAGGGAACGAATAAAGCGTTCTTTAGAAATGAAAGTATCCATGGAAATGAAAATTATCGTTATATATATTTGACGGTAACCACGTGAATAGGGAGAGTGATCTTAATAGACGAAGAGATAGTGATCTTTACAGAAGAGATAATCATTTAAATAGAGGGGATAGTGATCTATATAAAGGGGATAGTGATATATATAGAGGGGATAGTGATCTATATAAAGGGGATAGTGATATATATAGAGGGGATAGTGATCTATATAAAGGGGATAGTGATATATATAGAGGGGATAGTGATCTATATAAAGGGGATAGTGATATATATAGAGGGGATAGTGATCTATATAGATGGGATAGTGATATATACAGAGGGGACAGTAACCTATATAGAGTGGGTAAGTGATCTATATAGAGGGAATAGTGATGTATATAGAGGGGATAGTGATCTATATAGAGGGGACAGTGATATATATAGAGGGGATAGTGATCTATATAAAGGGGATAGTGATCTATATAGAGGGGATAGTGATATATACAGAGGGGACAGTAACCTATATAGAGTGGGTAAGTGATCTATATAGAGGGAATAGCGATGCATATAGAGGGGATAGTGATCTATATAGAGGGGACAGTGATCTATATAGAGGGGATAGTGATCTATAAATATCCGGTATCCACAGGGTTCAATGCAGTTGACGGTATCCCCGGGAAGCCGCTAGCGATTTTACAGAAGACATTAAAATCAGATACATAAGGTAACGTTCTTACAGAAGACTGCAGCCATGGGAACCATAGTTTTATATTCAAGACTTATCATACATGTAACAGAAGACCTGAACTACGGAGGCAGATCTAATGTTCTGACCTGAAGACAAGCTTACAGAGTTGACGTTCAGGAATAATAAAATCTGTTACCTGTAACTGAGCGAGATTGGGGTATTTAAGGCGAGGGCTAAGTTACTGTTGCATAATCCAAACCGAGGCGTTATTAATCCGCGAAAACGCCCGTAAGAGTACCAGACAGATCGGTCGAGATAGAACACTCTAGGATGGGATATCACATGTTTATCCCTGTCTGAGGTGCGAGAAAGATAACAAGAAAGCTAACTTTTTAAACAGGTGGGGCCATCTAAGGGAACGACGCTAATTTTACATGTGCTATATGTATAACGTTTGGTACATGTCAATTCAGAGGTTAACCAGCTACAACATGTAGGTGTACATGAGGTAGAAACACCTTTAGCATAAACAACATAACCAATGCTGATATTTATAATAACATTCCTGTATGGTTTCTATCAAATAGACTCGACGAGTGTCAGGGTACAGGGACTTCGAAATCATTTACCATTCTGTTTGGACTATGGTCTATAGCATCGATCATAACGGTTAAAAGTAGATCACCTACAAGTTGAAAAGTAAACACTTGTGTCGAGCACACGGATGTGCGGCCGAACTCAATCAGCGATTTTGTTATGTACATATACAGCAAGTCAAAGCTATCAGTCTGTACTTTATGTGACGCGGTTTATACTATCAAGTCTAATTAACGAAGACTAATTGTTACATTTGGCCAAATCTGCCCATATCAACGCTTTGTTATGCTGATTTGAACGTTACTCATGGAGAGCTTTACCCAATTTAACACGTCATTCGCTGTATAGTTTGCTGTACCCAATATAACACATGGTCCACAGTACTGGTTTCCATGCTTAGTTCGATGTTTTCAATGTAATTCTTGTTCCGTTGTACTCAATGTACTACAAGGGCCGCGGTGGTCGAGTGGTGAAGTCATTAGGTACTGACCACAGGTCGGCGGTTTTCTCCGGAAACTCCGGCTTTCTTCCACCAGTTAAAATCTAGCACGGCATGAAATGACGCTGGCTGTTAATAGGACGTAAAGAAAATATAAACTTAACTCAATGTAACGTATAATCCGCTGTACTCAATGTAACACGTGGTCCCTGTACTCAATGTAACACGTGGTCCCCTGTACTCAATGTAACACGTGGTCCCTGTACTCAATGTAACACGTG